ATCATCAATCTAGCTATTAATGTATCCATCTATCAATCTATCAATCTATATATCTATCTTATGAGTGCGTATCTCTAACTACTGCTCTCTCTCTCTCTATCATCTATCTTATGAGTATGTGTGTATCTCTATCTAATAGCTGTTCTGTCTATCTATCTATCTATCTATCTATCTATCTATCTACTATCTATCTAGTCTGTTTGTCTATTTATTTATTTTATTTATTTACAGTATTTATATACCGCCTTTCTCTCTCTCTATCTAGTCTGTCTTTCAATCTATCTATCTATTTAGACTGCCTATCTGTTAATCTATCAATCAATCTAGCTATAAATCTATCCATCTATCAATCTATTAATCTATATATCTATCTTATGAGTGTGTATCTCTAACTACTGCTCTATCTATCTATCTATCTATCTATCTATCTATCTATCTATCTATCTATCTATCGTTTATCTTATGAGTATGTGTGTATCTCTGTCTAATCGCTGCTCTGTCATCTATCTATCTATCTATCTATCTATCTATCTATCTATCTATCTATCTATCTATCTATCTATCTATCTATCTATCTATCCACCTACCTATCTATCCATCTATCTATCTATTGATAAATCAATCTATTTATCTTGGGCCTTTCTATTTTTTGAGAGAAGAATATCTTCGAAATATCTATCAATATTTTCGGAAAGACTTCCCCAACGCAATGTCTTTCGGGTGCGTTTCGGCTTCCCCTGCCGACTCCCTCTGGGGATCTGTAGTTCGCAGAAAGGCCTCGTCAAATTGCAGCTCCCAGGACGCCAGAGTATAGAGCCAGCGGCCTCGAACTGCGTCAATGCCCCAGTCTGGACGAACCGCAGGAGAGAGCCCGGCAATGACTGGGTTGGAAGGAAAGGCCCTCCGAGCGCTTTGCCCCGAGCCAGGCCACGTCGGGTGTCTCCACTTTCTCTTGAAAACGCACCCAAAAATCGCGGCGTCCCTCCCTTGGCTTGCAAACCAACCCTCCCCCGAGTGTGGTGATGAGATACACAGCCTTTGATTCGTTTGGTAATGTTTATTATTTTGTAGTAAAAAAGGAAAAGGGAAAAGAAAAGTCCTTTCGTGGTTTCCGAGCGAGATGAGTCTGAGGGAGGCGTTTGCCAAGGGCTCTTGCAAGACCCCCGAGGGGCCGGGAAAGAGGGAGAGAAGAAGGGTCTCGACGCCTGGAGTTCAGGAAAGGGCTCTTTCTGTCGAGGAGACGCTTCTCAAGCCTTCCCAAGATCTTTCCTCCAAGGTCACTCTGCGCCTGTGCAAAAACTGTGCGAGAAGGCACAAAAAGTGTGTGCAAAAAGAGCGTGCAGGCGGGCAAAGGAGCGCATGAGGGTCTGCGAGAGTGGGTGCAAGTGTGTACAAAAATAGTGCTGCATGAATGCGCAAGAGTGTGTGCAAATGAGTACAGAAGGTGTGCATGAATGTGCGAGAGTGTGTACAAAAATGGTATGCATGAACGTGCAAGAGTGTGTGTAGGAGAGTGAAAATGAGTGAAAGAGTTGGCAGGAGTGTGCAAATGAGCACAAGATTTAGCGAATGAGTGTGTGCAAGTGTATACAAAAATTACACACTGGCAAGTGTGTACAAAAATAGTGTGCATGAATGCACAAGAGAATGTGCAAGAGTGTGTGCAAGTGTACATAAATGGTGTGCATGAATGCATAAGAGCATACACAAGAGTGTGCAAATGAGTGCAATAGTGTGTGCAAGTGTGTACAAATATGGTGTGCATGAATGCACAAGAGGATGTGCAAGAGGGTGTGCAAGTGTGTACAAAAATGGTGTGCATTAATGCACAAGAGGATATGCAAGAAAGTGTAAATGAGTGCAAGACTGTGCAGGTGTGTACAAAAAATTACACATTGACAAGTGTGTAAGTGTGTACAAAAATGTTGTGCATGAATGCATAAGCACATGCACAAGAGTGTTCAAATGAGTGCAAGAGTGTGTGCAAGTGTGTACAAAAAATACACATTGGCAAGTGTGTGTGTACAAAAATGATGTAGATGAATGTGCAAGAGCATGCTCAAGAGTGTGCAAATGAGTGCAAGAGTGTGTGCATGAGTGTGTCCAAGTTTGTACAAAAATTACACACTGGTAAGTGTGCAAGTGTGTACATAAATAATGTGCATGAATGCATAAGCGCATGCATAAGAGTGCAAATGAGCACAAGAGCGTTTGCATGAGTGTGTGCAAGTGTGTACAAAAATGGTGTGCATGAATGCACGAGAGGATGTGCAAGAATGTCTAAATGAGTGCAAGAGTGTGTGAGAGTGTTTACAAAAATGGTGTTGATGAATGCGCAAGAGTGTGTGCATGAGTGTGTGCAAGTGTGTACAAAAATGGTGCGCATGAATGTGCAAGAGTGTCTAAATGAGTGCAAGAGTGTGTGAGAGTGTTTACAAAAATTGTGTCGATGAACATGCAAGACTGTGAGCATGAGTGTGCAAATGAGCGCAAGAGTGTGTGCAGGACTTTGTACAAAAAAATTACACTGTCAAGTGTGCAAGTTTGTACAGAAATGATGTGCACGAATGCATAAGCACATGCACAAGAGTGTGCAAATGAGCACAAGAGTGTGTGCAGGACTGTGCAAGGGTGTGTATAAAACGGTGAACGAGCAAGAGTGTGTGCATGAATGGACAAATGAGCGCAAGAGTGTGTGCAGGACTGTGCAAGGGTGTGTATAAAATGGTTTAGCTGAACGCGCAAGAGTGTGTGCATGAATGGGCAAATGAGTGCATGAGTGTGTGCATGAGTGTGTGAATGTGTACAAAAATGGCGTAGCTGAACGCGCAAGAGTGTGTGCATGAATGGGCAAGGGTGTGTATAAAATGGTGTAGATGAACGAGCAAGAGTGTGTGCATAAATGGGCAAATGAGTGCAAGAGTGTGTACAAAAATGGCGTAGCTGAACGCGGAAGAGTGTGTGCATGAATGGGAAAAGAGTGCAAGAGGGTGTGCAGGACTGTGCAAGGGTGTGTATAAAATGGTGTAGATGAACGAGCAAGAGTGTATGCATGAATGGGCAAATGAGTGCAAGAGTGTGTGTGAGAGACTGTACAAAAATGGTGTAGCTGAATGCGCAAGAGTGTGTGCATGAATGGGCAAATGAGTGCAAGAGTGTGTGCAGGACTATGCAAGGGTGTGTATAAAATGGTGTAGCTGAACGAGCAAGAGTGCATAAATGGGCAAATGAGTGCAAGAGTGTGTGCAGGACTGTGTGAGAGTGTGTACAAAAATGGCATAGCTGAAAGCGCAAGAGTGTGTGCATGAATGGGCAAAAGAGTGCAAGAGTGTGTGCAGGACTGCAAGGGTGTGAATGAGCAAGAGTGTGTGCATGAATGGGCAAATGAATGCAAGAGTGTGTGAGAGAGAGAGTGTACAAAAATGGTGTAGCTGAATACGCAAGAGTGTGTGCATGAATGGGCAAATGAGTGCAAGCGTGTGTGCAGGACTGTACAAGGGTGTGCAGAAATTGGTGTAGCTGAACGCGAAGAATGTGTGCATGAATGGGCAAATTGTGTGCATGGATGAGCGTGAGCAGGACCGTGTGAGAGACTGGAGCGCGTGTAAGCGGGTGGGCAAGAGAGTGCGAGCACCCGTGTGCGTGTGAGTCCCGGGACTTGTGAGGGCGGCTGAGCAGAGGCGCGACTGCTTGTGTGTGCATGAGTGCGCGAGCAGGACTCTGTGGAGATGGGAGTGCGTGCATTCAGAGCCTGAGTGAGGCAGAGGACCCCAAAACTGAGATGGGGGGGGAGGAAGCTCCCCATCCGAAGGAAACTTTTGTTTCTCCCCTTTCCATGGGCCCCCTCCCACCCTGAGAGTGTGTGTGCGAAAGAGAGAGACAGAGAAAGGGGGGGCTTACCTGCTCCCCTCTCCTCCTCCTCCTCCTGTTCCTCCAATCCGGGCCAGAGCTGCCAGGCCCGATGTGAAACGCTGTCAATCAAAGCCGGGCGGGCCAATGGGCGAGGCGGCGTCGGCGGGGGTCAGCTGACGGCTGGGGCGGCGCCTCCCTATTGGCTGCCCTCCTCCTGGCGCTGCCCCCTCCCTCTCTCCTCGGCGGGGCGCCCCCTCCCTCTCTCCCTCCCCCTCCCCCCTCCCTCCCCCCCGAGGAGTGTTAGCGGCGGAGGCTCGGCTGACTTTGGCCAGAGCAAGGACGCCGCTCGGTTGGAGCGGAGGCCGCCCGCCTGGAGGAAGAAGGGGACCCCGCGGGGGAGGAGGAGGAGGAGGAGGAAGAAGGAGAAGAAGAGGAGGAAGAAGGCGAAGAGGAGGAGGAAGAAGAAGAGGAGGGGGCGGGCGGGGGGCTGCGGGGGAGACCAGCAGGAGCAGCAGGAGGAGGAAGAAGAGAAGGGGGTCCCTCCATCCTCCGCTCCCGGGTGGGGTCCGCCTTTGGAGCCGCCGCTCACCATTTGGGTTGAATTCGGGGTCTCTCTCCATCCTTTTGGCTTCTCGTTTTTATCTCCCCCCCCCCTCCATTGTTGAGGGGCACCTCTGAAAAGAGGAGGAGGGAAAGGGAAAGGGAAATTGAAGGAAAAAAGGGGGGGAAACGGTTTATTGTCGGGGACAGCCTCCTCCGCCGTCGAGGAGGAAGAGGAGGAGGAAGAGGAGGGGGTTCTCCTACCGGCCCTCCTCGCCCCCCTTTCCTCCTCCTCTTCTTCCAACTTTCCCTTCTTCCTTTCCTTTCTTCTTTTCCAACTTCTCCCCTTTTTCTCTTTCTCCTTTCCTTCTTCTTCCTCCTCCTTTTCCTTCCCTTCTTCCCCCTTTTCTCCCTTCTCCCCTTTCTTTTCCGTCTCTTCTCCTTTTCTCCTCTTCCTTTCCCCGTTTCCTTCTTTTTCCCTCCTCCTCTGACCTTCTATTTCCCATCTTTTCCTCCCTCTTCCTCCGACTTCTCCGACTTTTCCTTTCCTCCTCTTCCTCCTTTTCCCTCTTCTCCTTCTCTTCCTCCTCCTCCTCCTCCTTTTCCCTTCTTTTCCTCTTCTTTTCCTCTTCGTTTCCCTCCTCTTCCTTCAACTTTACCTCTTCCTCCACCTTTCCCCTTCGCTTCCACCCTCTTTTCTTCTTCTTCCTTTCTTCCTCGCTCCCTTCTTTTCCTCTTCCTCTTTTTCTCCAACTTCTCCTCTTCTTCCAACTTCTCCTTTACTTCCTCTTCTACTCCTCTTTCTTCTTTTTCATCTTCTATCCCCAACTTTTCCTCCTTTTCTTCTTCCTTTCCTTCTCCTCTTTCTTCTTTCCCCTCCTCTTCCTCCAACTTCTCCTTTTCTTTCCTCTTCTCCTCTTTCTTTTTTCCCTCCTCTTCCTCCAACTTTTTCTTCTTCTTCTTCCTTTCCTTCTCCTCTTTCTTCTTTTTCATCTTCTTTCCCCAACTTTTCCTCCTTTTCTTCTTCTTCCTTTCCTTCTCCTCTTTCTTCTCTCCCTTCCTCTTCCTCCAACTTCTCCTTTTCTTCTTCCTTTCCTCCTCTTTCTTATTCCCCTCCTCTTCCTCCAACTTTTTCTCTTCCTCCTCCTCCTCTTCTTCTTCTTCTTCTTCCTCTCTTTTTCCTCCTCCTCTTCCTCCTCCCCTTCCTCCTTCCCCCTCCTCCACTTCCTCCAGCCATGGCCATGCTGCTGGAGGGCGCCGCTCCCTTCCCTTCCTTGGGGGGCTTCGGCCCGGCCCGCCCCCCGCACCACCACCACCACCACCCGCACGAGGTGGCGGCCGCCATGGGCCTCAACGCCCCGCACCACCCCTTCGCCGAGCCCCCCTTCAAGCTGGGACCCCACGGGGAGCTCCCTTCGGCCTCTTCCTCGTCCTCCTCCTCCTCTTCGTCCTCCTCCTCGGGGCAGAGCTCGGCCTTCACCCCGCAAGGCGCTGCTGCTGGCTACCACCACCACCATCACCATCACCACCCTCCTCCTCCTCCACCACCACCTCCTCCTCCTCCGACGCACCCGCACCACCCTCACCACCCTCACCACCACCCTCCTCACCCCACCGGGGCCCAAGTGCCTTCTCCGTACGCCTTCAACAGCCCCCGGGACTTCCTTTTCCGCAACCGAGGAGGGGAAGTCTCCCCTCCGGGAGGAGGAAACGGCCACGGCTCGTCCACGCAGCACCACGTCTTCGGGCCCAGCCCCACCACTTTGAGCGACAGCCCCTATTTGCTCTTCCCGGCTTTGCACGACCCCCAAGCGGCCTCCCCGGCATCGGAGAGCGGACCTTTGGGGCTCTTCGGACGGCCGGAGCCCTACCGAGGGGTACCCAGCCCCAGAGGAGACCCCTACGGCGGCGCCGCGGGCCCTTTCCACGCCAACTACGCGCCCATGAACATGGGGGGCGTCAACGTGGTGGCCCACCACCACCACCACCACCCTCACCACCACGGCGCGGGGGCTTTCTTCCGCTACTTGCGCCAGCCCGGCATCAAGCAGGAGCTGTCCTGCAAGTGGCTGGAGGAGGGGGCGGATGGCGGGGCCCCCGCTTCCCCGCCATCGCGGAAGACCTGCGACCGGAGCTTCGGCAGCCTCCACGAGCTGGTGAGCCACGTGACCCTGGAGCACGTCGGGGGTCCCGAGCAGAGCCAGCACACCTGCGCCTGGGAGGAGTGCCCCCGCCGGGGAAAGGCCTTCAAGGCCAAGTACAAGCTGGTCAACCACATCCGCGTCCACACCGGAGAGAAGCCCTTCCCCTGCCCCTTCCCCGGCTGCGGGAAGATCTTCGCCCGCTCCGAGAACCTCAAGATCCACAAGAGGACCCACACAGGTCAGCACAACCACGGGATCCCCTCCAGGGCCTTTCCCGCTATTAGAGTTAGTGTTATTCTTGTGTTATTATCTCTCTGGAGAACCTCAATATCCACAGGAGGACCCACACAGGTCAGCACAACCGGAATATCCCCTCCAGGGCCTTTCCCGCTATTAGAATTAGTATTATTCTTGTGTTATTGTCTCTTTGGAGAACCTCAAGAGCCACAGGAGGACCCACACAGGTCAGCACAACTGGAATATCCCCTCCAGGGCCTTTCCCCTTATTAGAATTAGTATTGTTCTTGTGTTGGTATCTCTCTGGAGAAGCTCAAGAGCTACAGGAGGACCCACACAGGTCAGCACAACCAGAGGACTTTACCGTTATTAGAATTATTATTATTATTCTTGTGTTATTATCTCTCTGGAGAACCCCAAGAGCCACAGGAGGACCCACACAGGTCAGCACAGCCAGAGGATCCCCTCCAGGGCATTTACCGTTATTAGAATTAGTATTATTCTTGTGTTATTGTCTCTTTGGAGAACCTCAAGAGCCACAGGTCAGCACAACCAGAGGATCCCCTCCAGGGCTTTTACTATTATTAGAATTATTATTATTATTGTGTTATTATCTCTCTGGAGAACCTCAAGAGCCACAGGAGGACCCACACAGGTCAGCACAACTCCCTTGAGGGTCTTTCCTATGCTTATGGTGATTGTTAGTTATTTCTCTGGAGAACCTCAA